GTCTAGGCGGAGCCGGCGGATTTGGTGGGCTCGGAGGTGCAGGTGGTGTTGGTGGGGTAGCCGGTGGTTTGGGTGGCTTAGGTGGTGGCGCTGGAGGAGGTGCTGGTGGTGGTTTTGGTGGAGGCGCTGGTGGTGGTCTTCTTCATCCCTGATTGGTTGCCACAATCTTACATGTCCAAGTTTTCCACTACTGTTGGCTTGCCTTTCGGGCTTAGAGTTGCTTTGGTTTTCCACTTTCCACGGTTAAGTAAGTTGGTTAGGTGTAAGAGAGTACAAGGGTGTTTTCCTCTACTTAACTACTTTGACTACTTTAATTTTGCTTCTACTTTTTCCCTTTTTGAGTTGTTATATGGTCTCTTTCTCATGTGATGTGATTTTCTGATGTTTTCTTCTTCGAAAACTATCATAATGGAAATGCTTTTGATTTTCATTTTAGCTGATCACACAGGGAAAGACTTTTATTTTTGGAAGGTAAATAAACTATCTATTGAACAAAAGATTATCCTTCCACTTCCATCCAACTGGTGAGCTTGTTTGTTGGAACTACTGAGTCAGCCAATGGGTATCTCAATTCAACCCCCAATCCCCATACATCTACATATATTTTGTATGATTTTTCCTGCGACTTCTTCACCTATGGCATTACATTAACAGAGATCATAATGATAATGATGGATGGTCACTGGTCATGGCTCAATTTTCTGTGGTGGGTCCCATACCTGGGGCCACAGATCATTAATTCTGAGTCTATGCTACCTACCTCCTGCTCCTCCTGTTAATTTGTTGGTAGGAGGAGGAGGAGCTAGAACACAAGAACACAGAATTAATAGATATCATCAACACCCATTTTACAAATTAATGGGCCTAAATATAAGCTTAACTTACCTAACCCATGGTGCCATCATTGGGCTTGGGCTACGAATGGTTTTTATATCTGCAACCTTACACGTGTTTATTAGGATTGTCAGAGGCAACATTTAAATAATGGAGCTGAATCAGTAATAAAGAGGTGCCCTGTTAATTGTTTTGTAGTGTTTTTTGGAGTGACCACACAAAACTCAGCGAAATGTTTATCAACAAGCTAAGTCTCCATTAATACGAGTGGTTGATGCTGAAGTTTGTTAGATTGTATAACCTTTAATATTTTATTTATTCAATTATTTTGTTCGTTAAAATACAAAAACAATTAAATCTTTCAGTTCATCAATTTTAATTATTACAAGACATTCTTAGATAATATTCGAATCAAGGTTCCAAATCTGATCCAATCAGATTTTATAAACGTTTATTTGAATTTGAATCAGTATCCATTAATGTCAGATATCTAAATATAATCCGATCTAATTTAATTTCTAGAAATTTTTTAATAAATTATTAAAAGGAAAAAAGTTCAAAAAATAACAAAAATATTATATTTTTTTCAACTATTTTTTATTTTATATATATGTATATATATACATTTAAAAAAAAAACTGCAAAAATACATATATGTATGTATGTATCGGATTCATTCTGATCAATTAGATGGTGATCCGAATTCAATTCATTTGCACCCTAGCTTCCAATATCTTCTTGGAGATTGCTTAGGCCTCGTGCAATTTGGCCCAACTCTAAATCCATTCATGCACATAGGTTGTATGTAACACTCAAAAGGCCATTACCCTATTTTGATCAGTTGATCCCAGTTATCTGGGGTCTTTGGAGGGGCTTTCTGCATATGGGAGTACTAGGGCTTCAACTCGTGTTGCCTGAATTGCAGATTTCCATCTATATTGAGCTTAGGTTAAGGTTTTGGGCCCATTGAAATTTTGTTAACTTTCCAACCCAAGTTGCTCCTAATATGAACTTTAATCTGTCTTTTTTTTTTCCCTCTTTTTATTCTGAGGTTGATATGAGGAGCGTGCTATGTGAGGAGAAAATCTGGAAAATCTGGCTTCATATATATGGTAGGAAATCAAGGGGTCAAAGAAATGTTTGCATGGATTGATGGTGGGATGAATAAGTGCCAAAGGGGATAAATGTTTGTCTGCGACTATGTCAAAAACAGTGTTTTAAAACCTAGCCTATAGGTTGAACCGCTTTTCTTCCTCTGAGCCAACCAATGGTTCAGTTTGTGGAATCAAGGATCAACCTCTAATGTAGAATGACGGTTCAGCCCAGGGTTAGAATTTTTAGGTCTAAAGTACAGTTGGATGGGTGTCAATTCGGAATTGATGTTAATTCACGAGCAAGTATGGGTGTATAAAATAGGGGTTTTTGACATTTTAAATATTTATAACTCTGCAATAAAATGACATAGTTGAATCCATTAAATGGGCCAAATGAGTCAAAGATTCAACCATCTTGATCAATAAATCATTAACTGAAACAACATTTTTTTTTCCATCCAGATCAAGGACGGATTGAAAACGCTGAAACCAAATTAAAGGCGGTCTCAGTCAGATGTTAAATGCAGAATTGCAGAATTTCACATGTAAACTCTACCAAAACAATTTCAACAGAAGGAAAGGCTGATTCAGTGAGGAGTGAAATCAACCCTCAGCGTGTCCCCTGCCTTGAAGAGGAATTACTGCGACTTCGTATCTGGTAGAATCTCCCCCAATTCAAGCATGATCTGACTCTGACATGAATGAAGTTGGGATCTCTGACCAACAAAACACGTTTCAACACTCTGCTAGCATTATATGATACGGCACATTCATAAACAAAACCAGAACCTATCAGTTTTACAAAACTGGGAGCCATTATATATGAGGTGTGTGGGTGTTCGAATGTATTTTGTTGGCAGGATTCAGAGGTGTAAATTGCACTGGTGAGTCTACTTATAAATGGATTGGACCCAATTCAGTACAAATCCAATCCAATCCATTAAAATGTAAATAGATTGGATTAGATCTAATCCAAACTGAATGAAATATCAAAACTTATATAAGAAAACTAGAACATATAAAAAATTATAAAAATATATTAAAATGAAAATATCTGAAAATTACAAAAATATATCCTTTTGGCATTGAAAAAGTCATAAAAGTACTTTCATAAAAGTATTTTGATAAAATTACTTTCATAAGTGTTTTTATAAAAGTACTTTGATAAAAATACTTTCATAAAAGTGCTTTTATAAAAACACTTTAATGAAAGTACTCTCATAAAAGGTACTTTTATACAGTACTTCCATAGAAGTGCTTTTATAAAATTACTTTCATATAAATACTTTTATAAAAGTACTTTCATAGAAGTCCTTTTAAAGTACATTCATAGAAGTGCTTTTATAAAAGTGCATCCATAAAAGTGCTTTCGTAAAAGTACTTTATAAGTGATTTCGTAAAAGTACTTTTGTAAAAATGTTTTTATTAAAGTGCTTTCGTAGAAGTGCTTTTGTAAAACTACTTCTGTAAAAGTGCTTTCATAAAAATATTTTTCATAAAATTACTTTTATAAAAATGGTTTCATAAAAGTGATTTATCCCAGCTTCAATTCTGATCAGTTTCAAATTGGATAAGGGTTTGGCCTCAAAATCGGATTATTAGAAATTTGGTTTAGGTCCAATTCAGACCAATAAAATATGGATCAATTTATTTTGGATTAGCCTAATCCAATAATTATAACGAACCATCCAAATCCAATTTAATAAGACTTAGATCGGATTGAAAATAATCAAAACTGATCAATTAACACCCTTAATCCGAATTATTGTTTGTGCGTACCTTTTCTGTCATTGGAGCTTTGGAAGGCCCCAATCAAATAAAACAAACCAGGACTAGACCAATCAAAGCTAAACCGAACATATTACAAGGTGAGCAGCTGGAAAAGACCCTTGTTAGTTGTATATACATATGCATTGCATAAAATACAAAGACTCAGGTTGGATTGGGTAGGGTTCAATTGGGCCCATCCAACTTGTAGTCTTAGCAATTTTTGATAATTGGTGGGGTCAGTTGAGTTCTATTAACTTTTGATTAGAGTTAAAGCTGGACAGTGTATGATTCAATGTTAATTGATGATGTAGTGGGCTAAGTGCAATATTTGAGTAAAACCTAGGCTCTATTTGGGAAGAGTGCAAATACAAATCCCTCGTATATGTTCAGTGCAAATACAAATACAGATATGCATGGTTATGAAAGTGACAGCATTTATATGTACTTGTACTTTTTTCAAACGAAGTCTTAGGTAGGGGTGCTCATGATTCGTCTTTTCTTAATCGAATCGGTATTATCGGTTTTTAGAAAATTAGTAACCGAAATCAAATTGAAGCCAATTGGTTAACCGGTTGATCAATTCGATTTGTTTGTTTTTCAGTTTTTTATTTTTACAATATATATTATAAAAATATAAATATATATAATATTATATTTTAAATAATAAATAATATATCATGTATTATAAATATATTTATATATATAATATACATAAATATATAAAAATATATGTATATCGGTCGGTTCGGTTAATCATCGGTTTTCTATATTGGTTAACCGAAACCGAACTGGTACCTTTGGTTTTTTAAAACATCAAACCAACTGGTTCGGTTTCAGTTGGTTTGGTTTTTTTTTTTTTTTGCTCACCCCTAGTCTTAGGGTCTATTTGATTTACAGTCAGAATCGGAATCGGAATCGGAATCGGAATTGGAATGGTCTATTCTCATAGTCTATTTGGTTCAGATAATGGGAATAAAAATTGAAATCAACAGGAATGGGATTTTGTTCCCAAGGGAGGTAAAGGGAATGGCCATTCCCTCAAGTGGGGGAGTGGCCATTCCCTTAAATGGGGGAATGTCATTCCACCAGGAATGGGAATGGTATTCTGATTCTGCCCAACCAAACAGTTGGGATTGAAATAGCTCATTCCAATTATGATTCCAAACCCACCCCTATTTCCGCAAACCAAACGAGGCCTTATTTTTTTTTCTATTTTTGGGTGGGAGGAGGGTTTGATAAGAATTTGAACATAAGAATATATAAGATTTGATGTGCAGAAAAGAACATTATAGCTCCTGTAAGAAGAGAGGTGATCTACTACTAGCGGGGACCTATGCAATGCACAGGATTTGTTAAGCGAAAGCTAAACAATAGAAACACATAAGAGTATATAATTGTTTTATAATTTTTTAATTTTTAAATAATTAATACTTATTTATATTTTATATACTACTTTTAATAAATTTTTTACAATACAAAAACAACAATATTTAATTTTAGTTAGGGTTGTTTATCAAATTGATGAAACCGACCAACCCTATTTCTAGTATTTCCAACAGCTTTGGTTCAACTATTTCCCAACCCAACAAGGTTGGATAAGTTTCGTTTTGATCATTTGAAAACCAACCAAAATTGAACAAATATAATTTTTAATTATGAAAAAGTAGGAAAATTCTAATATTTATTAGTTTAAAATATTTTATATTATAAATTTATTTTTTAATAACATCATTGTAA